CATTGCTTAGGTAGGTTGGTACCTGTCAAAGTAACATCTGCATGGATGGCAGGATCCAGGGTTTCCCAGGAGAACAACGCCCACAGCCTCTGCCGGCTTCTCCTTTTCCCTATACCACATTCTGCTGCCAGGTATTCGTCAGATAAGAGATGCACACACATCTGGCCATCTATCAGAACCACCATTACATTTTTGGGCAGTTTGAGCTACAGCTTGTCTGTTTGATCAGACCACATGAGCAGGCCTTCGATGCCCACATGCATCAGTGACAGTGATTCTTGGCGGCCCGTGACCCTGTCGCTTCCTTGGAGCACTTCTGATAGATACAAGATTTGGAGATGCTCTGACTCAGTCGTCTAGCCATCACAAACAGTGGTCATAATGTTATGCTTGATCAGTATATGTCAGAATCAATAATATGTCAAATGTAGGGTCAACAGTTATCACGATATCCTAGTACATCTGGTCACAGCTTGCTATTTTAACCCTGTTCTGTGATTATGAATCAGTTCTCTGTGCAGCTTACAGTTTCAAAGCAATTACTTTTTACTTCTAATTTTGGGCTACAGACTGTGATTAATAAGAAGAATCCTAAAATCCCGTTTTTATATATTGTAACTTATTTTGATAGCAGACTCGTGGTATACTGTATTTTCAGGGCTGTCATATTTAATTAAAATTCCCACTGTGATAGAAATAAAACTTTCAAGAAAGAAGAGTTTTTTAAAACCTGATTTTTGTAATTATTTTATTTAATTTTTACGTATGTTTGTGTGTCTACATATTCTGTTTCTTTTGAATTTTAAATTTTAAAAATATATAAACAGAAAAAAAAGCATGTGATCTGTGATTTTAAAATCAGACAATGAATCATGAAAATCAAGTACAGGGAATTCTCCATGTTAAAAAATAAAGAGTCGGCACTCTGTGTTACAGAGGGACATTTTAGTATCTCTGCGTACATTTGTGCCTTTTCTGCAGGATATTATTCCGTTTGGCAACAACCCCGTGTTCCGCTGGCTTTTCGGCTGGATGGTGCCTCCCAAGATCTCGCTGCTGAAGCTCACCCAGGGAGAAACCATCAGACGTCTCTATGAGCAGCACCACGTGGTCCAGGACATGCTGGTACCCATGAAACATCTGCAGGATGCCATCACACGCTTCCACAAGGACATTGAAGTAAGAGTCAAATATGGATCAGTGTGCCGGGCACTTAGTTTATGTATGAGGTACTTGTGCTTTAATATTGAAATGGTTTGTGTTGTTTTAGGTGTACCCACTGTGGCTGTGTCCATTCCTGCTGCCACCAGGCAGAGGGATGGTTCACCCCAAAGGTCAAGAGGAGGAGCTGTATGTAGATATCGGGGCTTATGGGGAACCTAAAGTCAAACATTTTGAAGCTAAAGCGTCAACACGCCAGCTGGAGAAGTTTGTCAGAGATGTTCATGGGTGAGTCTCAAATTAAGCAAACAAATTGAAGCATCTGAAACAAAAGTGATATGAAATATTAAAGCTTTAATTCACACTGCTTTTGCTGTTTCGTTGGCATGTAGATTCCAGATGTTGTATGCAGATATCTACATGGAACGAGAGGAGTTCTGGGAGATGTTTGATGGACAGTTGTACCACAAATTGAGAGATGAATTAGGTTGTAAAGAAGCCTTTCCAGAAGTCTATGACAAAATCTGTAAATCTGCCCGACATTGACCCCTATCTCCCATCACCTGGTGCCTGAATTCAGCCCTGTCTCGCAGATAAACAAAGCTTCTGTCGGCAGCTCGACAGAAGCTGCTACATTTTGATTGTTTCTAGGAAAAAAAGAGAGCTAAATATTTTCTAAAGTGGGATTAATCACACTGAAATACTTATTTTGGAAACCAGCCCGTGGGGACATTTTTATCAATGTGACAAAGAAGCAGAAGCATTTTATTATGAAGGGTTTTTTGTGACTTTTTTGCCTTCATATGAAAATGCAATGCTTAGTTCATCTTCAAACTGTTTAATACTGCACATATTATGCAACGTCTCCCTGTTTGGCAATTTTGTCTTATTGTTCCCCTAAGTGCCATACACTTTGAAGACATGTATAATACATGGTTCCTGTTTTTCAGTTTTAAAAAGAATATATTGTAACTTATTTTGATATCAGTGTGAGGTTATACTATATTTCCAGGTGTGTATAACATGTAATTATAACTTTTCCTACAATAAAGTTCATTGTCATGCCTTTTTTCCATCAGTTATTTCACATTATTTGAAATGTCAGATAAATTATAGCCACCCATTTTATAACTAGTTTTTAACAAGGTTATTATAATCAACTGAAACTATACTAGGAATTAAAACTACATGTGGAAAAAATACTGTCTGAAATAAATAATACATTAAATAAAAATACAACAAACATATTTAGTTTTGTCATTCTGGTAAAAATCTGTACAGTGAGTATGAGGAGGCATTGTTGTTTTTATTTAACTATGATATTCATTAAGACTGGAATGTTTACTTTAATGAGTGTCCAAAATACATCCAGTTCCTCTCCTTGAGGAAAAGACTCAAAAGAACAGGTGTGGTTGTGAACTGCTCCTGTGGTTGTGAACTGATCGTGGCTCAAGAGTTGGGAGTTCGCCTTGTAATCGGAAGGTTGCCGGTTTGAGCCCCGGCTTGGACAGTCTCGGTCGTTGTGTCTTTGGGCAAGACACTTCACCCGTTGCCTACAGGTGGCGCCAGTGTCCGGCAGCCTCGCCTCTGTCAGTGCGCCCCAGGGTGGCTGTGGCTACAATGTAGCTTGCCATCACCAGTGTGTGAATGGGTGGATGACTGGATGTGTAAAGCGCTTTGGGGTCCTTAGGGACTAGTAAAGCGCTATACAAATACAGGCCATTTACTATTTACCCAGAACCTATGCACAACTTTACAGACTACCATCTACATGCTGTAGCTGCTTACTGTCACCAGAGGGCAGAACATGTAAAGCTAATAATCAAAACAGAGATTATACTGAAATGCAAAGTAAGACCTGATTACATTAAAGATAATACTGCAAGAGGCATCCCTATACAATTACAGGCTACACAAGATAAACGAGACACTTTAAACCACATTATAGATAAATGTAGCCGCAGTAAAATATCTGCCTTCAACTGCAAAGTATACAAAAGAAGACATGCAGAGGTAGATTAATGAACTCACCACAAACTTAGACAGTTGGGGGTCACCGACTGTGTCTGCAGAATATCCAATCCGACATTCCCATGTGGTCTGTAAATTTGTGGTTTGCTAATTTTGAAGATCATGCTTTAAAACTAGTGTCATGAGGTATTAAATTACATCGTTTTACTTCTAGAGGGACACGAGGAGTGGGCTACTTTCCAAAGTCATCCTAGTTACCACAATTATTTTTTTTTTAATTATTTTTTTTCTTACGTCAGAGTGTATGGAAACTTTTACCTGTTGAGGGGGAACGAGTATCTGCAGTTAAGACTACACGGGAAGTTTTTCCAGGGGACATCTTCGCGGGTCCGCCCTTTCTACAGACAGCGATAGTAGCTGTCAGCCGGTTTGGTAAGTTT